ACCACTCGGAGAACGAGCGACGCTTCTGTCACAAGTTCATGTTGACCTCCTTTGTTACTTTGTTACAGACTGGGTAAACAGTAACCACTCATCTCACTTACGATTTGTGTATGAGTTCTGGGCGGGGCTTATGGGTTATGAGGGACCACACGCTTACCTCACCAGCAGCTGAAAATTGGTAGCTATTGGTCAACAGTGGGAGGGGCCTACGCAACATGATCGGTTGGAGGGACTACATAACAACAACGACAGGTGATTGAATTATGACGGCTCGCCCACAACGCCAGGGGTCAATGCACAATTTATGACAAAACGTAATGGAGTCACTAAGGTGACCGTCTAAGACAAGTGTTATTGCTTAGTATAATAGGGGTTGTGTGTTAAATTATGGTGGCCGCGGCTGCGTTGGACGGGTGCCTGTTTTACACAGTTAAATTATATAGAAAAAACGCAAGGGAGGGGAATGGAAAGTGGCCATTTGTACAGGTGGCCGTTTTATAGAGGTGGCCGTCAGGGCAGGTTCGACTGTATATATATATATATATATATATATAGATTTATAGCCTAATATGTCCATCTGGAGTAGAAGTAGAAAGAGCAGGAGGCTGGACAGGTATGGAGGACCCCTGTAACTTGTAACACAAAAGGAAAAGCTAAAATAGGCAAAACTGCTGGGAGTTAATATTCCCCCCCCCCCCACCTGTTTTATCTTTACAGCTAGATTCTACTTTGCTTTTAAAGAAGGCAGACCCTCCATAGACGGCACACGGCACGCGGCACACAGCACAACATGGCACGCATGCGAAATAAAATTAAACACAACCATTTCGAGTTGCACACTCCATTGACGGCACGACACAGCCACGACGAAACATTGCGCGCCTTGCTTTGCTGCATTGCTCGTTTTTTGTGTCGTGTGCTGCCAAAATGGAGGACTACAAGAAAGAAATTATTGAACTTGTGAGACACCGATCGCTTCTTTGTGTTCTTCAGTTCATCATACGTTCTGTACATTCTTAGGTAGTTGAAGAACAATGTCTCATCTCTACGTCTCATCAAGGAGCTGAAAGTTCGATGAAACTCTCCTCTACCACTCCTCAATAGAAAATGTTCTCTTCACCACATGATCCGCTTTTTCCTCTTCTTTTTCCGATTATTTAGAATTGCTAACATGATCAGAGTATCTTTATCAGACGGATCCATGGTTGTGATGTCGTGCTATGATGGCCTATGGAGAGAGGGGTATTAGCCTGTGGCACGGCACATGCCGACAAGTCATGTGCCGTGCAGTGGCGGTGGGTGGACCAAAATTTGGGTGGGGCTCAGGTTGCTTCCAGTTCTTTATCACCAAATAGCAAGCTATAAGAACTAAACAGTGATGATTTTTCTATACTCACAGTGAGCCACGATATTTAGAGAACCATTCAAACGAGAAAAATTACCTTTGTTTTCCATCTCTTTGTTCTTAGTTTAATTCTTGTTGATGGTGGGGACGAAGCCGATTCACCTCCAAATTTCCTCTAATTAATTTTCTTGTGATGAAAAAGTTGCCTTCGAAGTAGTTCGGCCTCATTTATAACTGTTAAATCGAAGCGGCACAAACAGTAGCAATGCCCACCGAGAGCGTTTTGTTCTGCCGATTTTTGGCCCCCGCAGCGGGGGTGTTTCGTGGGACGCACTAACGCAAAGGTTGTTGTCTTCAACTCGCTCTCACGCCGCTTCTCGTGAATGGATATGAATGAAACTTGGCAGCCAATCAGAAAAGAGGTCAATCTCGTAGTATGCATTTTGACAACATTGTACCCATACTAGAAGCAGTC